GGAAATGTAGGAAAAGCTTAAGTGAGAAATTACAAAACATAATATCCTGAAAATGATTGTAGGTATTTGATGTTGTTTGCACATATCTTGCTATGATATGCTACGCCATCAATTATTTGTCCCTCTTTCAAGTTAACTGTAATGTTTGGCTCATAGTTCATCACCACTGTCATCAGCAAAAAATACTTTGCAATTTTTTTCCAGGTTAAGTTGATTTCAGTTGAATTTTTATACTTTTCATTTTTAAGATCACCATTCACATGAAACTTTGGCAATTGGAAGAGTCAGTCAATAATAATATATCAAGTAAAATATACTTAATTTGCATCTGAATATAAATTATACCTGTTCAGTATGATATAGCAGAGGCATAAGACATAATTCTTATAAATACTGATTTCTTCTTTGGTCACGTTAGGTCTGTAAAAATTCTGAATCCATATCCCCATTTTTTTCACAATCTTCTTCTTTGTCATTTATAACTTTAAGCCTTATTTCATTAACTTCTGTAAGACCTTTCTTCAAATTGTACAATTTAAAAGCAAAATCTTGAAGTTCTTCATCATGGATGATTGTTGCCCTTGCTTAAGTGCTGAATTGCAAAATTATGTTGCTAAAAATTCCAATATATTATGTGAGACTCCACCAAATTTATTAGAATTCCTCTTATCCAGGCTTGTCATACTTGCAGGTATCTTGCCATATCCCATAAATCTTTTGTGACAACTATTCAACACTATTTTAAAAACCTGCTTCTTTTCATCAGCACAAAATGTATGGTTCATCATCTGCAAATTCCCAGTTACGCAGTTTTCTTTTCCTAGAATGCACAGGCAGTAACTATGTTTCAGCCTCTTCTTTATCTAACTGAGCATTTGCACATTCGGTTAAATTTTGTGCAGCTTTATTTAAATCCTGGAATTTTTGTGAAATGATATTTAAATTCTCCATTGTCTTTTGAGTCATCATCTGGGCTTGCAACAAATCGAGTTCTTTTTTGTTTGAAAATGTTTTCAGTAAGAAATAGCTGGTTAACCCACGAACTGTGGCATGCATCATTCTGTGGTGTGGAGCTTTTCAGAGTGTTCTGACTGCCATTTGAAATTGCATTAAATATTGATACAAGACCCCAATAAGTATATATTTTTAGAAAGGTAAATGGATGGGGATAAAGTTGGCCATATTGCCCACCCTGTAAAAAATTTTGCTCAGCGTCCTTGACCTTGGAGTTCTCAAGAAAAAAAAATCGACAAAATGTCTTGCTTTCAAGTGCTCATAACATTATTAATTTTTATAGATACACTTACAACACAATCTAAATGTATCCAATTCATTTATCTTTCAGAAAATGTATAGTTTGCTAAGGTTTTGATTGCAATTAAACCTCTGAAAGCAATTTTAGTAATTTTAGGTCATTTACATGTGAAACTGGGACCACTGCTAAAACCAAGTACAAAATACAAAATCTCAGGCTAAATAGTTATTATTGACTAGTAAACATTTAAAAAGGAACTGTGAAACTGATTTAGGTTGTTAAACTATAAAATTTATTAGTTCTGAACTATAATCTGTAGCTTCTGTGACTAAAATTGAGTCAGTCCTTGTCCAACCTCCGGGCCTGGCTCAAAGTCTAACAGTAGCCTCAGTAGGCCTACTTCAGTATTACTAAGACTAGTATAAAATTCACGAGAAGAATAATCTCAACTGATATCGTCATGAGGAATGTTAAAATCAGTATCTCCTAAAAAGCTTACAAACATATTTCTATTAGTTCTTGCAATGAAGGCCCAGCCATAGCTTCAACCATTTTAGCTTTTAAAAAAACAGCGATACAAAACTCCGATTAAATAGTACTTATTTTTAAGTTATCAAGAAACAGCTTGAACTGGAAGAGGATTTAATTATTAATAAAAGGAAGCGGCTATAATTCTGGTTAAATAGATGGATTTGATTGAAGTTGCTATCTGACCGTGTTTTTTATCGGCTGATTTTTTTCGGCCACCTCATTACAGAACGAGAATGTAAGCCGATTTTTTCGGCCGACCACAGTTTGTGGGTTAAAACATTCACTAATTACACTAGAGCTCTGAGTTGGCAGAAAAGCATGTGCTTTTGTTGCGCTTAAGTTTCTAACTGCACCGATTCTTAGTAGGCTACAAGGAGAGCTACTTACAATTATGAGATCAAAATGTATTTAAGTTGCACAGAGGAGTGTATTTAATACTCTTTGATTTAATAGAAAAAAATATTCAAACTTTAAAGTCTTTTTTTTTTAAAAATCTTCGGTTTAATGTTACACAAAAACACTTTTTAATTTTTAATTTTTCATGATGGGTATCGGCTGTTGTGCACACTCAAAAAGCTATTGGGCGATGCCCAATAGGTTGATCTGCCCCTTTCTTAACATATATATATTTATAATCTAAAATGTAGGTAATTAAATTTAAAATTTAAAAAATGTAATTCATTACATTATTTCTATTATTATTTTAGAGATTTTAAACAAATAGTTTCCTCCTTCCACTTGTTTATAATAATTATTATATCAGGATACTTTACACATATCTTTCATTTCACCAGGTTGCTCGACCACTTGAACTTCGTCTAACTTTAAAACCTCAACAAAGTATGGGTGGAGAAAATAAAATTTATACACAAGTGGATATGATTGTCAAGTGCTCACCCAAGTACCCAGATGTGTAAGAAAAATTAACACAATAATTGTTTGAAAAAACCCAAAAGACTTTTAAATGCAAAGTTTTGATTTTGGCAATGCCACCACTGTCTATGTTTTTTGCAAGTGAAAATCTCTATGATTAACTGACAAATTAATAATACTTTTAAAGCCACCCAGCCAGAATAAGAGCGCTTCATATTTGAGGATAAAACATTCTTAAACCGTCACAATCAAACTTTTGTTATCTATGTGCAAGAAATTTGTCCTGAGATTTACTAGAACTGACAGGTATTATTTATTATTATAAATATCCTTGTTTTTAGAGCACCTGTCATTTCACTGGCTAATACTAAAGGACTTTCAAATCAGCTTGTGGCAGAACTTAAGGCAGAACTAGATAAAAAGGCTGCTGAGAATGCTGGAGAGGTAATAAGATATTTTTGAAGCTTACCAGAATGTTACAATTAGTTCATTTTAAAGCCTTTTTTTTTTTTTAAATTGTAATCGGGTGTCAGAGGATGTTGGAGTGGAGATGTATATTGTCATTGAGCTATGGCTTTTAGATACTTTTTTAGAAAAAAAAACAATTGTTTTTTGTAGAAGTTTGATTCTAAATAATATTCATAAAACTGTATAATTATAATGCATGTTATTGTATGCCTATTTATTGGCTCATATAATTTTCACAACAAAAAGATAAAAATAATTATTTTTGATTATCATTTATAGTAAACAACAACCCATGATCATTTTCAAAAGTAATAGAAGAAATCTGATTATCACCGAATATCCCATTATAAAACACAGATCTTCCACTTAGTCAAGTTACAAATTTACTCAAGTACTTCTTTGTGTATTTTTAAAAGAAATATGTGACCTAAATAAACTTTCTTTTAATTAGATGGAAGACACAGACTTTAGTGTAAACAAGTAGAATGAAGCTTTATATAGGACAAAACAAGTGTTATCTCTCTCTCTCTCTCTCTATATGTATATATATATATATATATATATATATATATATATATATATATATATATTTGTATGTATGTATGTATGTGTTTCAAAACAGGATATTAACCAGTTATTTAGATATCTTATTTTTATTACAATGAAGAACAAATAAATAAGGGTTATCAGGGTGTCACCCAGTGCAGTAAACATGAGGGGTCACCTCCCCTCCCCCTTTTTTTGTGTGAAATCTCCCCCACCCCACCCTGAACCTGCACAGTGTAATTGTTAACCAGATCATACAGAATATCTCATAGTATTAATCATAAATTAAGTCCCACAGGAAAACAAGACATAAGAAGAAAACATAGAATTTGAGGTAACTGCTTTTTTTTAAAAATGCCTTGAAATCCCTTTTTATTGAAACATTAATCTTAACAGTTAAAAATTTGCTACTTCCTTTTTTTCAAAGATGCAAACCTGTCAATCACTTCATCAAAGTTAGCATTTTCACCTTTTCACTTTCAACTGACAAAATCGCAAGACCAAAAGACAGTTATATATTATATCGCAAATAACTATTTATAGGTTTCATTTTTTAAAAGCTCCCAGATACACAGATAATTATAAATAACTGTTGGCTTAATGAGAGGATTGGGCGAGATTCTAGGAAGTTCCATTTAGTTATGAATTTTAAAGCTTCAAATATTGACCAATCTTTAGTTTCGTCCCCTAGATCAGACATGCTTGAGCCATGGGCAAAAAGATTGAACATATAAAACAATGAAAACTATTATTATAAACAAAACTGACATGAATTAGCTCTTCAAATTTTGCAGTCAATTTATAATAACAATAAATACAAAAAATTGACACAGGAGCTTATTTTTCATGTTTTTTTGGATGTGAACACCATTAATCTTGACCTGCTTAGAGCATCATAAACTTAAGCTATGGTAATAAACATATAAAGAAATGGACTAAACGCTCTGGCGGTACCCTGCTCTTGTTACTAATTGTTCTTGAGGCATTTGGTTCTGGTCGCACTCTGTCAGGTGGCATCCAGCTCTTATATTTAAATTAGATATTTTATGAAACCAACTAAAGTGAGCTCTGTCAAATTTGCAATTTTCCATTTGAAATCAACAACATAACTTTAAAATTTTTTCCTTAAACGATTTTGCTTGTCCGCAAAAAGTGTAAAGATATAGAATATTTGTGAGTAAATTTTCATTTATTAGTTGGCAACCCTGGGTGTCAATTATCGTGGCTCACATGTCTAGTGATGGCACAGGGAGATATGCATGTCACATTTTAGATTTATAGGCTCATGTAGATATGCATGAAGAATAAAAATGCCATGTCTTATGACAGGTAATGATCTGGCAGCTAGCAAATGATGTTGAAGCATTCCTCCACCAACACAATAAACCTCCACCACAGTCTTTCTACGATCAGATGATTATAAACAATAAACAGATGCAAGAGAAGAATAAGGAGCAGGAAAGACTGAGAGAGGAGATGAAGGTGAGGTGCATACTGACATTGACATATATAATAGTATATTACCCATAAGCAGAAATCGAAAGTAAAGGTTTACATCACCTATTCTTACGTAGTATTGAATAAGCAACTCTTTTTGAACTATTTTCATTGTGTTCAGAGAAAAGAAATGGAACAAGAAGTCATTCGGCGTCAGGAAGTCCTGAAAAGTGAGACACGTAAACGCAAAGAAGATTATAAGAATGTAAGTTTTATTTTATTATTTTGACCACAATAAAGATGATTTCTAAATAATTTCAAAATTATTGAAACAATGACAAATGATAAACATTAAATTCATATTCATTTGATCATCTGGAACTTGAAGATGGCAACTTACTAACAAAAATGAAAGCTTATATTAAAACCCTCCAAACTGGAAAACATGCTCTGTCAGAATTGAGTTGTTTGGTTAGTTTACACAGAGTTGAATGTAGCAAAGAGGCTGTACAATTTTTAATTTTTTATAAATTTTGTTGAATTATATTTAAATAAAGGTAAATATATTAATTTTTTATTAGGGCAAGAAGGACCTTGTTAATGGTATATATAAATATATTAGAATTTACATAACGTAAAAAAATTATTTTATACATCAGATTAGTTATCAAGGTAATCATACAATTTGAATTAAAATCTAATAATATAAGATGACATATAACAAGCAAATATAATTTTATAAATATTTTTTTTACCTTGACTCCTCAGGCTGAATCAAATCTCCCCTCCAGCAACATCTCTAAACTGGCAGCCCCATTCAGCCCCCTTGTCTCACCCATAGCCCCAACTCAACAACACCCAACAGCTCGCTCTGTATCACCTGCCACTCCCAACAGATTTGGGACCCCATCCAGACAAGTGCCCATTCCAACTTTACCCAGGGAACGGTATATAGTTTATAGGACCATTAAATAACACCGGATTCAAATTTCTCATTTTATTCATTTCATGAGTATTTTTTTAATTATTGAATGCCATTTTACAAACTGCTTACTTATCCATTCAAATAAATTTCATTTAGTTAAATCCCTCCCAAATTAAAAAAAAAAAAATTATCTCATTTAAAAATTAAAGTTAATCTACCAGCACAAGCAGTTAATATACAAAGGACACATTGTGTAAAGTGCTGTTCCACTTAATGTTTCAGACGAACCAGCACACCCAAGAGAATAGAAGATGAGGATTCAGGGACAAGTCCTTCCTGTAAAGAGCATGCTGCTGGCATTACCCAGCTGACATTTTTACATAACAAGATAGAGAGGAAAATACAGAGGGGGAAATGTTTAGGCAAGTATTGCAACTCTCAGTTGTTAGCATAATAAAGTTTTTGAAAAACTGACTGAATCATTTGAACAGGGGCTGATATGGGTGATTTTATTTGGAAGGATTCAACTTTTCATTGGTAATTTATTTTTTAGTGTGGCTCCTTTGCGTGTTTCCAGGTCACAGCAGTAGCGGCAGCACAATGTATGCCGGTATGGACATGGCCAGTGGTGAGCTGGTGGCTGTTGGTGAGTGGATCATGAAGTGGAGACATGTCAGTAAAAAGTCCAACACTTATGACAAAGAGGAGGATCCGGAGGGAGCTGTACATCTTAAACAGGTCAGTAAACACACATCCCCCGACCTTCCATTAAGGCCTGCACAACATGCTGCTCGCCAGCATCCACTTTGTGGCCCGCAAAGTTACGACATATTCTATTTTATTGGTATTTTCTTAATAGATTCCCCCCCTGTCGTATTTTCTTTGGCCCCCACAAGTTTTTCATAAAGTATTACAGCCGCCCTACATTTTGATTTGCGCAGGCCTGCTTTATATGTTTCTCAACAAATTTTGAAATTTTTCATTTTTAAAAAAAATATAAGTCCTTACATTTTTGTTCCGTAAAGGTTTTTTGTTAAAAACTAGACTGATTGTCAACCATTATATTAACGGTCAGGTTTTGAGCATTGAACAAGAACTTTTAGCATTACTTCGGCTGAATCACCCAAACCTCATTCATTACCTCGGCTGGAAGCATGAGCATCAGCTGGGGAGGATACATGTATCTGTAAGTATCACAACAAAATAACTTTCCCTATCCTTTTCATTTAGTTCAATGACGTGTTAAATATTTTTCACATATCTTGTAATAACCCAAAGAAAACCTTTTTTTTAAAAGGGCTTTAAGTTGTATTGATTTTATTTTGAAATGAAAGGATTTTTTTCTACTCTTTAGCCCAAAATGAAATAGTTTTTAAATTGAAAAAGAATATCTTTTTTTACTCACATTGCAAAGATTCAAACATCATTGTGCAGTGACTCAACATCAATTAAACAACCCCTAGAAACAAAGTTTTCCGTTTAAATCTTTTATAAAATGTAATATCGATCCAAGCATGCATACAAGAAATGCACTTTATAGTATTCCCAATTAATGCCCTGCCCCCCCCCCAACAGCACATTTTTTTTCATGCCCCTGAACTATATTAATATTCTAATGACCTGCCCGCTTTTACACCGCACATTTATTTCTCCAAAAATTTTAGAGAAACAAAAGAAAATATTATGCAACAAGCACACTTTCAATATTATTTTAAAAAAGAACTTCACTTACCACAGTTATCGAGAATTTTATTCTGTTAAGTCAATGTCATCATATTTCTATATTTCTTTCATGTTCCCCTTGAAAAACAGGAGAAAGTGATTTTGGATGTTGGTGGGTGGGGAGGCTGAAAATCTGATTAGAATGTGTTGTTATCGGCAACAAGTCTATAAGCCAAGTTTCAGCTCGATAGGTTGGTGGGAAAGTTGGTCAGTTAGCTGTCCAAAGATTTTGCCAGTCAGCCACGAACAAGAGCCACGTTAAAATATAAAGGACTTTTTAAAAAAGTTTTAAAAAATTTTTTAAGTTATCATCTTCAGTTATTTGATTAACATATAGATCTATTTATATTTTATTTATCAGCTTTTAATTATTTTTTTGAGCATGTCAGGTGTTGATGGAATATTCAGGGGGAACAAATATGTCTGTGTATACTCATCACAACAATTCCCTTCCCTTGGCAATGCTGAGAATCTACATATCAGAACTTTTACAAGCCATACAGTATTTACATCATAATTCCATTGTTCATAAAAATCTCAGGGTGAGTTGAAAAAAAAAATTTGAACATTACATGAGTTGGTTAAATTTTGCACCATCTCTACTTAATAGTACAAACATAAAACATCAGTTACAATAACTGAAGTAGTTAAACTATTAAAAATGGAATGATATTTTCTATTTTTCAAATGTGTTTTTTCATGTTTTCCAGGCATCAAGTGTTTTTATAGATGGTAGTGGCAGAGTTCGTCTTGGGGACTACAGTATTGACAAGAGGTTGCTCTTAATAATATAATTTAATGTGTTTAATTCTTGTTGAACTTTTAAAAGCCAACTTTGATTAATCCTATTCAAACAAACATTTTAATTTATAATGTGAATCCACATTTTTTAAATATTAAAATTTATTTTGTTATAAAGGTTGTTTTTTTTTCAAATTTTACTTATACATGATTACACTAGTCTGTTGCTGAGAATTGGGGCTAATGAGTAATTTCTGATTTATGAATTCAGCCAATGAAAGTTATATCTTGTTCATTTAGACTTGGAGACTTGTATGCAGCTGTTGACAAAGCAAGACCGGGTGTGAGGTTTTCAGATGTCAGGCCCATGGTATTGGGGAGAGGAGGTCAGAGAGGAGATATTTATCAACTGGTGAGTGTTTAGACGTTTAAATTTCTGGTATTTTCAAAATAATATTTCCTATTTTTCTCTAACTGAAAAAACTAAAAGTCTTTGCACATCATTAAATAGACTATGTCATTTGGATTATATCAGAAATACCCCTTTTAAAAATATAAACTTTGTACAGTTTTACTCACATCACTTATTGATGACAGTTCATTTTACTCTTATCCTTTGCTTCAAAGAAAAAACTATTTAAAATTTGTGTTGTGTTTTATCAAAAGCTGATTTTTTTTTCTTCTTATTTTTCTTAAAAATAAAATCATTGTAATTCATTACAGTATATTAATATTCCTAAAATCACCTGTTGGCACATGTTACTTTAAAGATCTCATTCATATACAGGGCCTGATGATGTTGAATCTCATCTCTGGACAGCCCCTCATGGAATCCTTGCCTGAAATACCAGCTGACCTCCCAGATGTGCTGCAAGACTTTCTGAACAAGTTAGTCAATTTGACTAAATTAGAGATGTTTCAGTCAGAGCTATCCTAATGTTAAGTTTATTGATATTGGCCATAGAATGTTATGGATTGAAACATGCAGCTATCAACTACTATAATTTTTTATATAGAGAGTAAAGTTTGTTGATTGCCCAGTTGGCATGTTGCTTAAAGCTATCAAATTTTTTTCCCCCACAAAACTAACAATTTTACAAGATAAATATTTTAGTAAAAAGCTTCAAATAAAGTATTCTTAAATTTGGTAAAATCTTATTTACTTTAAAAAAGAAAAAGTGCCCCCCCTAATGCTTGAAATATCTTAAATTCACCAAATCCCCTTGTGTCATAAATGACTTGGTGACAGTGCATTAAATTTTGCCTGAAAGTAATACAAAAAAATTGTTTAAAAATTTGGCTCTCTTTATTATGTTTCATAAAACAATTTATTTGTTCTCAATTAAAAGGTGACGTGTGTTATTTCCTCTCCACAAGAAAGCAAGATGAGCCATTTTATTTGTGGTATTTCCAATGAGCAATTTTAAAAGAAGTTGTTTTTAGAAAGTTATAATTTCTCATGAACTTCGCACAGATGTTTGCTCCGAGATGAAAGGCTCAGATGGACAGCTGCGCAATTGCTGGAACATTCTTTTATAAAGGAATCAATACCGCAAAATCATTTACTGGCAGGTTCGAAGACAACCCATCTTAACTCTCCTGGTAACTGAAATTTTCTCTTCCAAATTTATCTTAGAAAAATTACTAGAATGCAGCTTGTTCATAATACGCTTCCAAAAGGAAAAATTCAGAGTAATAACAAAAAGAAATTTATATCATATTCAAGGATACTGACATATGATTTTTACCAAAACCAGACTGAAAGTTAAAAATGACTTTCAGCAGAGACCGAAGTAAAAAAGCTTGACTAGTTTTGTGGCCGAAACTGAAATATTTAGATGTTTTGAAACATGTTTGTGGATATGTTTATCCTTACATTGCACACACAAAAAAAAAAAAAGTTGGGAGAGGGGGGGGGGATGTATCATGATTTATATTATTTTTATTAAAAAATGAGATTATCGTGAATTTTAATAGATAAACAGCTAATGAATACTTAAGCTTTTACCATTTGAATTAAAAAGTAATTTAAAGTTGTTTAAAATATAATAAAGTAGTATGGTAAGAGAAAATGAAGGCAGTTGATGAGAATGAAAATAATAGTGTGGACCATAGTTGAACTGATAAATTAGTTTAATGAAAACTATTTTTACCATATGTGAAGAAGACTTTCTTTTCTTCTCCCTTGTAAAATAGTTTAAGCTACCTTCAATCTTATCTTTAACAAGATCATAAAGCCAGGAGATAAGATTTGAGAAAAAAGAATCAATTGTGGGTTAAAGTTTTATGATAGCATTGATCTGACACCGTAGTTGGTGTTTACTCTAAAATATCAAGCAGACATTTGCATGGAATCTTTTAAACAATGTCTTTTACAGGTAAGGAATTGGATGACACCAATGAAGAGAATTCTGATAACAAGGAAGAGGAAGAGTTTGAGTACTTGTGTAGTCTGGTGGCCAGCGGTCAGTCACGACTTGCTTCAGAGTTTGAGCTGCTCAAAGTGCTTGGCAAGGGAGGATTTGGTGATGTCTTGAAAGTAAGTTGAAGTTGATCCTATTGTATTTTGACATTTAAGACAAATAACTAACATTTTAAGATCATAATTGTGTGACATTTTTAGACTGAACACCTGGTGTGAATTTTATTTTTTAGCAAGCTATTTAAATCTAATTTATAAAAAGTTTATTTTTAAATTGTGAGTAAATTTTGCCTTCTTAGAAGTGAGCCTATTTGTCAACTGTGACCTAATTATTTACTAATCTGCTGCAACTTTTTGAATTGGGTCAAGATAGCACAATCAGCAGTGTCTTAAATAGCTACTAATACAACGCATGAGAGATTTTCCATCTTCATTTAGCTATAGTTATGTATTTCTACCTGTCACTCATCGTAATCACAATAGCACATTCCTCATATTGTTACATGAACATCTCTGTCTCTCCTCAGGTAAAGAACAAATTAGATGGCAGATTCTATGCCATCAAGAGAATCCCACTGAACCCTAAGAGTAAAATGTTCAACAAGAAGATGAAGAGAGAGGTCAAACTTCTCTCACGACTCAACCATGAAAATGTAGTCAGGTAAATATTATCATTTATTTTTAGCTTAGGTTGGCAGTTACCCAGTTACAAACTTATGGCTGGAACAGAATCACAATATAAACCCATAGCTCTGTAAACTCACAAATAGAGGATTTAGATATTTGCTTGTGATAGATCTTGTTTTTAGAAAATAACTAAAATTACATTATATATCTTTTTTGTAAGATAAACTGTATAAAACAAACAAAAATTAATTTACTTAGGTTTATTTTACTTTTAACATTAAGTAAAATTTATTTCCTTACTTAGGGTTTTATTTTTTTGTTTTTTTTTAATTGTCAGAAACATGAGAGTTTATCCCACATAGAAAATTGTTTATGAATTCTATGACCTTAAATAATAATAATAATAATAAAGTTCATTTCAAAAACACGCTTCATCCCCAAAGGCTCGAAGTGCGGTACAAAGTCAACAAAAAACAAATCTATAATTTACCACATTTAAAACAAACGCAACACTACAAAAACTAATTACAAGCATACAATTGCAAAGTCTTTCAACCCATTTCAACCATGAGCAACACAGCTAATATGCATTAAATGGAAAATATGGTAGACAATCATCCCAGAAGGTGTTTGCGAAATAAATGTGTCTTTAA